AAAAAACGCCCAAAGTAGCGCAATTACCATGTCCCAAATATAAAAATTACATTTTCATCCCTAAAATACATATTTTACAGTCACTGTTATGCACATTTATCATAAACACAGCTCAAATGTTTCCTACTAGTGTGGCCCAAAACATTTAGCACAGGTAGAATGCAAAATGTTTCCGTACAAGCATTTCAACCTAATGTAATTTATGCAATATTTCAAACCTTTAACCCACTGGGGAAAATCAACCCATGACAACAGTTTAAAAGCAGCCCAATTTAGATGTGCTCCCTTTACACAGTGCACGCGCGATCATGAAATCGAAAGTGAACTGCTACTGCAAGGGCTCATTCAAAAGGGATTTAAAGGGGTCATATGATGCTGCTAAAAAGAACATTATTTGGTGTATTTGGTGTCTTTTTAAGGGCCTTAATTTTCTCTAAATTGATTTATCAACTTTTAATACTTTTTAAGACTCCGCGGACACCCTGAGTTGTCATTCCAGTAATGCAGCTGTGAATAAAGGAAGTTATGAAAGCTTTTCAAAGTGCTAGTCTCACCTTTCACCCTCTTGGATGAGGCCAGCAGCAGATGGTCTTCAGGGAGAATGTGAGTTATGATGTCTATGGCACGTTCTGCGTGGAATCTAAAAGCAAAATTCAAAGTATGAAACTGGTACATGTTATTCAATAAACACTTCCATGAAAAAAATTAAATACAAAGAACAAAAAACAGATCTACAAGAACAACTTTATTGTGTTAAAGGTTAGGGCAACTACTGTTCATCTGTTTCATGGACTTCTTAACACTCGAGGGACAAATAAAATGGTATAAATGTTCTAATGGTATTACTTGCAACCAAAATATAGTTTTGTCTTGGAAAGAATAGACCAATGTGGCAGCTTGCTTTGAAGAAGTGACTCACAACATCAATTAAATTATTCATATTTTTGTGGTGATCTAATAAGAATGTTTGTCTTCTTTCATAAAAAAAACAATGCGATTTTGTTCAGTGCTATATATATATTAGCTTAATGTTGTTTATTAAAATTTAAATAGCATTACTTTAAAAAACACACTTTAATTACTCACATAATTTATCACATGAACAACCAGTAAATAATGATACTGTTGATATCTGTCTGGCACATAAAACAGTTCTAGCTTAATTTAAAAACAGACATGAATGAAAGTTGACTTGTGGTCCAATAAATTAATTAGATGCAAAATGCACTCTGATGGATTTTGCAAGTTAATTCAGTGAAGGATTCATTCAGAATGATTCAAACAGATAACAATTGAGTTTTTTTAAACAATTCTTTAAAAGAACCTGCTCATAAGAGTCATCTGTCCATCAATCATCTGCAATTGATATGCTCTTTATGATTTAGAGCGCAAGAATAGCGGTGCACGAAACACTTGTACTGTCCATTTACCCACCTGACACAGACGCAATTACTGTTCACAATTATATTAAATAAGTCTTTCTCTGAACATGTAACTAATGCGCCCAGGATGGGATTGAGATACTCACAGTGCGTTGTCGAATTTACCAGAGCTGTACTGATGGACATAGGATGAATACGCCAGGTCCTCATGTGCAGTTGCAACATGAATATTCTTTCCTCCAAACACTGACTGTCGAATATCTAGTGCAGTCTGAAGGTAAAACACATCAACAACAAGTAAATCACCTAGTCTTTGAAAGAATGAGAAAATGTTTTATTTATACTTGCAAAGAACCGAAAGTTTAAGTAATTCCTGGCTAACCTGGTAAATGGCCACTGATTGACAGATATTATCCACATTTAAGAGATAAAATCCATAATCTAGTAGTGTATCTGAGTATTTTGGGTGCTTGTGCCCAAAATGTTCCCTGAAAACAAAATGTGGAAATACATATGCATTTCATTGGTGTCAAACAGAACAAAATTTCAACACCAGCCATGCTTTATAAAGAAGTACTTACCGTGCCAAAAAGACTGCATGTTTTATCAGTTGTTCAGCTTTCCTAAACTCTCGCTTAACAACACAAGCCTGCAGGGATCAATGAGAAGGTTTTTTAGATTCATTATTTAATGCAACAGAAGTTCACATAGATTTAGAAAAACTCAAAGATCTAACAATCACTGACCTTAGAAGCTTGTCTGAGAACATCGACTACTACTTTCACTGGTAAGCCAACTGTGATTTCCCTCATAGCCTCTATACACCACCTATAAGCCTGCAACACATTAGAAACACATTAAGCTGTAGAGCAGCCATTCTCCAAACTGACTTCTGGGATACTTGCAAAGGGACTTACCTCATCATAGTGGCTTTTGGCAAAGAGTAGGGCACATAGTTCTCCATACAGGGCAGCCTTATTAGCCTGATGGCCGTGTTTGGCTAGTTTGTCCATGTAAGACTGGGCCAGTTTGAAAGTTTCTTCTCCCAGGTGGTATTTGCAGTTGCCATTACGCACATGAAGTAACCTGGCATACAAAGCACACAATTACACATTAATAAGATATTAATAACACTTACACAATGTTGATAATGATCAATGACATTTACAGCTAAAAGAGACTCAAGTTAACCATTCACTCACCTCACACAGCACTCTACTGCTCGATACCAGTGAAGAACCTCATCGTGTAATGTGCACAGCTGGAGACAAGACAGGAAGACTTTCTCTGCATCTCCATACCAACCGGCATCTGATAAAAAGCCACCTGATACACGAGAAAAGCATTATTGCAACAGCTTGTCATTACAAGCTAAAAGAGCAGAAATGTGAGGCACAGGAGCCATACCTAAAACAAAGCCAAACTGTATAGCTTTCTCTTTCACATGCGCATCTGACTCTGCGATGTATGAACATCGGCGACTGAAGGAGTTGGCCAGGACTGAAGCGACCTTCACACCGTGGTCCATTAGAGCCTGAAAGCAGTGGTGTAGGAGATGCCTGTGGAAGAAAATATGTACTCAGTCTTTCATCTAAGTATCAATGATTATAGAGATTTAAAAAAATTAATTGTATAATTTTTAGTTGCTTTTTTGGGGTGACGGTATAAGGATGTTTCCTTAACTTTATGCAATGACAAACATTATAATATTATTATTATATAACATTACTAACAGCAACATTACTATGTAATATTACTACCGGTGGACCAAAAGAGTTTTGGCTGATATAATGCCAATATACTATACACTTTACATATTTACATATATACACTACCATTCAAAAGTTAGCAGTCAGTAAGACTTTTATTTGAAATAAATTCATACTTTGATTCAACAAGGATGAATTAAATTGATCAAAATTGACAGTCAAGTCTTTTACACTGGTAAAAAATTATATTTCAAATAAGTGCTGTTCTTTCTAACTTTTTAGTCATTAAAGAATCCTGAGAAAATTGTACCATGGTTACAACAAAAATATTAAGCAACAACTGTTTTGAACATTGATAATAATAAGAAATGTTTCTTGAGCAGCAACTTCTGAACGGTAGCGTACATACAATTTATTGACATAAAATAAGATATTGCATGTAAAAATGATAAAAAAAAACAAAAAAAAAACATGATTTGACATAATACTCAAAATTCACAAAACAATGGTTCATTCATATTTAAGATATATTAATACGTAACCGTTTAAAAAATGAGTACAAGCATGATCAAATAAATTTTTGCTGTGGTATGACTTTTTTTTTCTTCTGGTTTCTGAGTCATGATAGTCTATCACTACATAAATTACTCTACAACCAGGTCTTGTGAAGATGCCAATGAATGCTCGCCCTATACATCATGTGAGATTTGAATCATCAGCCCAAAATACACACACACACACAACCTCATTCAGAGTGGCCATAAATATGGCTTTGAGCTATATTATCTTGACAGACAGAGTAAAAGTGAACTCAGTTGTCAAATACCTTTTGTCAGAGGCCCTGAGGACTTTAGCGAAGACCTCCAGCTCACAGAACTCCCCTCCCAGCTGGCAGAGCCGGCCTTGCTGGTAAAGCTGGAACACATGAAAAAATGTGAGATTGCTGACCCTATTGTACATGTGACACAAAGACAACTCAAGCCTTTCCCTTGGGGATGCCAAGAGCCAGAAAACCAGGAAAAGTAGCCAGTATGAAAGCAGAATGTACAATCAGGAAGTTTGTGCAAGACCAATATGTGTGCCAATAACATTTTGTTTGTGATATGGCACATCTGGTATCCAACACCAAACAGCCTGATTGTACAAAAAAACAAACAAAAAAACAAAACAATGAAAAACAATGCAAAGATTAAATGGTTAAATTATCTTCACAACAGAGTAATTTAACCATTACTGTTATATTTGAAGCTAAAAACTATGATCATCCTAATTTAGTGGTTGTCAGCCTTTTTGACTCCAAGGCCCCAAATTGTCCACAACAATATTCAAAGGCCCCATGACTTTTCCAGCTGTTCTTGATTTGCAGGGGTAAGGATTAAGGATAAGGAGGATTTAAAAAAAATATTTTTGTATTTAACATTTCTAAAATATTTTAGAATTTGGCATAACCAGAAAAAATATATTTACAAAGTATATTAGCATATAGTATAAAGTATATTATATAAAATTATATTATAAAGTATATTATATACAATTGGAATAATAAGATTATTCATTTACATGATTTTTCCACATGTAGAAATCACACTTTCAAAAATAGTCTACCTCATTTATCCAGCATTTTCAAGACACTTGGAATATTAGTTCGTCATAAAGAAAGAAAGAACGAAAGTGTGTGTTGAGGGTGTCACATGAGAAATAACTTGATTTTAAAGGGTTAGTTCACCCAAAAATGAAAATAAGGCTACGTTTTACTCACCCCCGAGGCATCCTAAGTGTATATGACTTTCTTCTTTCAGACGAATCCAGTCGGAGTTATATTAAAAATTGTCTTTGATCTTTCAAGCTCTATAATTTCAGTCAGCGGGTGTTGCATTTCTTCAGGCCAAAAGACCTGAAATAAAAAGCGCCCTTCCATAAAAAAAA